ACCCGCTTTGTCATTAGCTTTTAAGTTAGTTGCAACATTTCGCATACTTATTTGGCTCCCAACTTTTAATTCTTTTTAATCGCAGTCTGTTGTGCTGGCACTTGTGACAGCCATGCACATCCCCCCCCCACACATGCCACGCTGATTAGAAAACCCATTCCATGCAATCATCTTCCAGCTCACAATTATCCTTTCCTCCATAGCTAACCATAATTCCTCATCAAGTGACACAATCCGTGGACGAGAGCAATTTGCTTGTCTGATTGCCGCGAAAACAAAAGGCTGCCACTGGCACTGCCACAGCCAGAGCCAGAGCCATAGACATCGCCGACATCGCGGCCTGACAACTGTCAACATCTTGTGACTGACGTTTGTCAGTGGCATATATTTCAGAGTTGTGGTTTTTGGACCATGATGAGGATTAATCGGAGGCATTGTCATGCCCGTGCTCTCCGCTGTTTGCAGTGCCATGCCACGTCAGTTGCTTTGTTTTAGCAATTTTCCTAGGGAATCTTCCGGACCGACCTATTCAGGCGCTAATTAACTGCCAGAGAGAGCGAAACAGAGAGAGAGAGAGGAACAGGAAATGTGGCAACTGGCAGCCGGAATCGGTTAATTAATCTCTTTACCGGTTGCCGCTGCTAGGCGTAAGCGAAACCCAAACTGTTTTAGCATTTTGGTGGCACTTCCGCTCTTCTGCTGCTGCGGTGGGTGGTGGGCTGCAAATGTGTGTCAGGGTTGGGTTGGGTTTTGCTGCAGTAAGGGGTGGGGGTAGGGGAGGGTATGGGGCAGGGGCTCCCCATGTCCTTGCGGACAATATTTGAATGCAAATCAGAGTGTGGTGCAAAAACATGTGCGCCAAATGCCAGACGAAAGCAAAGCAAACAGAGCCACAAATATCGTGGAAATCCTGCCTGCCCAGGCAACACTATAATAAACTTATTTGTTCTCTTTTTTTTATTGACGCCACACGTCACATGCCCCACGCGACACGCCACAGTCCCCAGTCCACACAGTCCACTGGCCGCAAGCAACTTTTCAATTTTTGACAGAGATAAACAGAGCAAAAATCCACAAAAAAAAAAATGCGAACAGCCGAAGGAATAAGCGGGGGCCAGGACTGACAGAGCTGGCAGTGGGAAGGTCGTTGAAGGTTGGTGGCTGGGCGTGGGTTGGCTGGGCGTGGGGTAGTGGGGGGATACGTGTTTGTGCCATATAAAATAATAAAAACGTGTGAGGAGCAACTCAAAGAGATTTCAGCTGAATTCAATTTTCTGTGGCAACCAACAACAACAAAAAACACCGAATTACAGATGGAGCAAAAGAAATGGCGACAACAAGGACATGACCGGCAGGCAGGCAGGCGGAGTAGGGCAGGGGCAGGCGAGTGTCCCACCAATTCACGATTGAGAGCCAGGGGAAGTTGTTTCTGTGGCTGTCTCGATGACATTTTAATAAAAATAAATTTGATCAACACTTTTGTTTGCTCAGTCTCGATTGCTTCCCCACACATGAATAATATTGAATCGGCAACCAAATCCAAGTAGCGGGCACAAATGCCATTCGCAGAATTTCTATAAAAGTGTGGCTTAAAGATTATCACAGCTACGCCCGCTCAAAGTTCCACCTTTGGCGCGCAACAAAATCCCAAAATAGAATTACAATGACCTTCAGCATTCAACCTCTACTTTAGCACACTTCACACACATTTCTTGCATTTCTCTACATTTCTTTAGATAGCAATCGCAATTTATGGTGGCTGCCACGTGTATTATACGCTGCTGATTCGTTGTGCTCTGCCCCTGGCTGGGCTGGCCTGGGCTGGCTGGCAATTACGAATGTCACCTTACACATAAACACATTGTTGTGCAATCAAACAGACCGTAAATAACAAAAAAAAACCATCCGAAAATTTACGAGTCAACACAGCAGCGACCCGTCGGCACTGGCTGCACTTCCGTTGCATGTCCGTCTTCGTTCGTTTTTATTACATCCGGTTGGCGGGCTGGCTGTCGAGGCGGGGGGTTGGCGTACAGCTGTTGCGGCCGTGCATGGAGATGGCCTTAAAAAGTCCACGGTTCCGCAGTCGCACATCCGCACATCCGCATCCCCATCCGCGACGACGACGACAGCGTTGACTCTTTTGTCATTACCACATTGGCCATTACCGGGGCGCGGCCAGAACATTAAAAACGCATTTCAAGCTCCCGCGTAGGAGCCACTCAGAGTCACCCAACCAGCCAGCAGCACTCAGTGGGGGGTGGTAGAATTTTCCTGACCTGCACAACAAAAAGTCCAAGTCGAAGCTCTCGCCAAAGAAGAGCTTTTGCCTTCGGCTACGGCTTTTACTTTACTTGTCAAGCCCTCCCTCCGGCTTTGCTTTTACTTTGAGCCCCCTCCCCACTGCTTTTACTTACACCCCCCTCCATGCTTTGACTTTCAGCGTCTCTCTTTTGGTGTGGGCTCTCCTCTCTTGATTTGATGTTCTGCTGACCTGCAATCAATTTTATTGATTGGAATTCCCCATTTGATTGCAAATGCATTCCATTTGTCGAGAGTTTCGCACGAGAGTTTTACTCTCACTTTAATTGAGTTTTTTTACGCAATTCAGACACACACACACACACACACACAGGCAGCACACCCTCACACACACACACACACACACACACACTCACCATCTCTAAGGGAAAACGTACTTTTCTATGCGGATAGCCAGCGTCCATTTTCCACGCAGACTTGTGCGAAACTGAAACATGGAAAACACACAGCGGGCCCCAGGCGAGATTTGTTTATTTGCTGGCCACATTATCGAGTTTTCCTTTCGTTTTCCTGCTTTGTTTTTGCCGCCATTCAAACGCTTTTCTTGGCCATTACCATTGTCAGTGCCATTTGGTGGCGGAAATGGCGGGGGAAAATGCTAGAAATGAGTCCAACGAAATGGGCTAATGTGATAGCAGGCAGGGAGATAGCCATAAGGCAACCCGGAATCGAGGAAGCACTTATGGGAACTTATAGGAATGGTTACCCAAGGAAAAACCCCACTGAAAGCCAGCCCAAAAGTTGTTTGCAACACTCCAAATTATGCTCAACAAATTTGCGTTAATTATTTCACACTCTTAGGAGCAAGTGCCTCGCATTTTCGTGCTCAACTTTCCTCTAATTAACTTTTCCTAATGCATTTCCATTGACACTCCAATCGCAAATGTCTTAATTAATGTTATTAACCACCAAAACACTTTTGCTCTTTAGCCAATGACCTTCTAATTAATGTTTTCGTAAGCGATAATCATAATAATATATGGGAGAGCCCCGCCCCGCACACGCCCCCTTCCAAGCGAACCCCAAAACACGCATCAAATTGAGCGACAAGAAAGTCTAAGCGAAACTTTAGCCGTGCCGCCAAATTATGAGTTTACACGCAATCAGAAACGGAGGGTGCCGGGACTCACACGTACTGCTGCTGCTCCTGGGGGGGGCCCTTGAAAGTTTTTACTCCACTGCTGCCGCTGCTGCATGTAAGCTAGGCCCCCCCCCCCGCACAGCGAGAAGTGGGTGCGGTTTTGTGGCACTATGCTCTGTGCTGGGGCAAGGCATGTCCTAGACAAATCACGCTGACTGGCTCAACATGACAGCTGCCCTGCCCTGCCCTGCCCTGCTCCCATCTCAGCCATGCCACTTCCTGCATGGACTCCACTCCTCCTGGTGGCGGCGGCAGGGCAAAGCGATGATAAATGAACAGGGGACTGAAAGTGACACAGATTTTCGGTCAGCTGCAGTTGATTTCCAGTCATCGAAGCGCAGAGCGGAGCGGGCAACACGCTGCGTATGAGTAATGTCCCCCATTGACAAGGGGAACCCTGCTAACATTTCCCTGTGTACGTGTGTGTGTGTGTGTGTGTGTGTGTGTGTGGGAGCCACATTATTGACAATTTTATTAGCACATTTTTTTGGGTTTGGGAGCCGCATAAAGTAAACTCGTTAATTTCATAGCCATATGCCAGGAATATTTGGGCAGCTTTTCGGGCAGGCAGCTGGGAAATGGGGCTGCAGATGTGTGTGTGTGTGTGTGTGCTGATGATGTGTTGTTGACACATAAAAAACGACATCAGAGCCTGGGGAATAAGAGAGCAGGACTTATTCCCAGCGCAGCTGCAGTCGTTGATCGTTTGTCATCAGCGCCTGATTCAAAACTGATTTGCCTGCCAGCCTGTCAGTCGTCAGCCAGCCTGTCAGTCAGCCAGCCTGTGGCTATTATAATGGCAATGGAATGCAAAATGTTGCCTGGTAATAAGTGTCAATCATAATCGAAGGTGCCAGTTATTTGTATTCATTATTGTAGGCAACAAAAGTAGCTAGATACAGGCCATAGATGCCATGGTAATTATGGCTCCTAAAAGTCTCCACTTTCCTTCAGTTCCAAGGTTCAGTTCGGTTTCCTTACCTTACTATTCCCTCTTCTCCATTGGGGCCAACCAGCAGAAAGCAGAATGCAAAATCCTTTGCAGCAAAGATAAACCATCTTCAATCCAAGGCAAAGCGGCTTTTCTATCTATCAGTTTCGAACAGCATTTCGTGTGCCATTTGTACACTCAAAATCAAAGCCATACGCCTCTCTCCTTCCTTGCCACTATCTTTCGTATACTTCTGCATAATTTTACCATTTACGTTTAGGTTTTTTTGGTAGAGTAGAGAAGAAAATCCATTTATTCAATGCACGCAAGTGCCACTATGCAAATTCAGGGCGTTTTGGGACACGCCTTGCTGGTACTCGTACGCCCAACAAAAAAATAAGGGGAGAGGAAAAATTGATTACACTCAAAGAGCCAAAGAGTCGTAGAGTTGAGGCAATTTGCATATTTGTGTTTTTTTTTTGTACAGGAAATATGTATGGCAAATCGGATAAATCGGGTCAACTGTGGGCGAGACAACAGCAACATTTAGAGGGATTTAAAGGGGGGCACCCTAGCTGGCCTTGTGAACACACCTCACACAACTGTCAAGTGGAGACTATCAGCAACAAAACAACCCTACAACTTCCAGCATAGACAACAATTATTTCCCATAAAAATTTCAATTGCGAAATACAAATCCAAATTTGCTTTAAATTCTCTGCTCGCGATGTACAAGCTATTGCCCTTCAGCGGGGATCTGATGCGGTATATCCTGCAGCCATTGAAGAGCAGCAAGCGCAAGAACGCCTACTCCATATGGAAATTCTGTCCGATGAAGCAAGCTAAACAGGCCTACAGCAAGCTGCACTATTGTCAGTTCTGCAAGCCCGATTTGTTTCCGTTGATCTTCTGGTTTGTGCTGGCTCTCAGCATTTGGGGCGCCGCCTGCACGCTCAAGCAGACGCTGAAGCTGTTTAGTTGCCCGAACAGCAAGCTGGCCATGTGGCGCAACCGGGAGTTCCATGTGTTCAGCGCCAAGCTGCTGCACAGCGCCCGATTGATTGGCTCCTGTGCCACCATCACCGTTTGGTGCATGCTCACCTGTGGCCTCGTTATGCTCAAGCCGGAACTGATGGACCCCTGGTTCGTACTCTACACCTGTGTGATGATCGCCGAGCTCATAGTTTGGGTGTACGAAGTCCTGACCGGTCACATTCAGCTCGAGCTGCACCAGGGACTGACGCTGATCCTGCCCATTGTGAATCTCATGATGGTCGCGTGTGTGAAGACGGTCATTGAGAAGTCTCTGAAGGATCATGTGGAGGACTCGCTGCGTATTTTTTAATTCTCAATAAAAGCCTAATCGATTGGACGGGCGGGCTTTGCTTTGGCTTTAATCTTTTCTGAACCGATTTGCCAGCGTACTTCCATTGATTGTGTTTTAGGAGGGTGGAGTAATGGAGTAAACCAACGATGAGCAGACAGAGTAACATTTCGCGGTGCTATATATGTATATACATATTTCATTACAAGCTTCACTGTGTAAGTTCGCTGGATCGTGCTCGTGAGAGCGAACGCTAGCCGAACCTACTCTCAAAGCCGAGCTTAATCTCAGAGCCGAGTCTACTCTCAGAGCGCTGTCACAGGGCGCTAACAGTGCGCTGTTAACGGGGAGTGACAGTGCGCTGTTAACGGGAAGCGACAGTGCGCTGTTAACGGGAAGCGACAGTGCGCTGTTAACGGGGGCGACAGTGCGCTGTTAACGGGAAGCGACAGTGCGCTGTTAACGTGGAGCGACCAGATAATGTTAACGGAAAGCGGTAACCTTGGCTGTTAAGCGCTTCTGCTGCCCTGAACAAATCGGTACTAGTACAGGTTCCAGCTCCAGTTTTTTTTTTCCCCTTTTTTTGATACTTTCCGTTTGCATTACATATCTTCACCTTCTGCTTTCCCTTTTTCTTGCTCTTGTGTACCCAAACTGAATGTCAAAGAGTCGCCAGTCGCTCGCTTATCCATAAGGGAGTTTTTTTTCGGTAGGGGGAGGGCAGGCCACATTTCAGTTTCCGCAAAAGTTCAAAGTTGAGGCGCGTGTTCCGAGCAACATGGAGCATAAACATGACATGGCATTTCCAGAGAGACTAAATCAACAGATTGCCATTTGTCCCACTCCCACACCCACACCTACACCCTACCTACACCCCACATCCTTTTCCTTCTTTTCCATACCATTTCCAATTTCATTGCCATCTCCTGTGTGCTGGAAATGCCAAATGCCAAGCGAACAACATTTAAGCCAAAAATGTTGCCTCTTCCTGTACGCCTACTGCCTCGTTGTTGGCCATTGAGGATGATAATTGCGAAGGCGGCAGCCACTAAAACACTGGAGAACGCTCCATTGAACAAGTCCTCGTAAATCAAACGCAATGAGTTTTCACCGACACGATGGCCGAAAACTTCTGCCAGGATGCTTGGCACAGGACATCCGTTCGGCTCAGCACGCGCCCCCCTGCCAGCCCGCCTTCAATCACAACAAAGTGCTCTTGAAATTCGATGAGCGGAGCTAATCTCTCGCTCTGCGGGCTCCCCCGGACCACTCAATCAGCGGGTGGGCAGCAGCCGCATTGTTAGCTATTTCGGCAATTATATTTGGGCAAAAACAAATCAATAAATGGGTAATTACAGCGACAGGCTTTCGAGGCGGCAAGTCAATGAGCTAAGACAAGGACAAGGAAATCGAGCAAGGAAAAAGCAGAAGATACTTATTCGAGGAAATTCATGGGGTTGACTTGTACGGTTTCGGGATAAGAAGTTTTCAAAGTTTTTTTTACATTTAAAAAGTGGAAGAATAATTCATTTTATTCGTGATTCGTAGGCAGTTTTCCATTGAATATTATAGATAATTTATTTGGAACTACTTTTACTTTTTAGCAAACAGTTTTGAATATTCGGAAATAACTGAGAATATTTTTTCTATTCAATTACTTCCCAGTCTTTGTTAGCCAATGAATATTCAGGGGCTCATTGCCAGTTAACTTGGAAGCCTTGTTGACCCTTATAATCTATGTAAATACTCCAACTCCTGTGCCATCATTTCCAACTTCTATCTCCAAGTTCTATGCCCATTTCTCTTCGTTCTTCGCCTGCCATACATTTTGTACTTCCATCTCCGGTTAACGTAATCTGCTTTTTGCCACAAACTTACAGTTAGATAAACTTTGAAATATTCAAAGAAAATATGCAACTCTGTGGAAATTTGGCTTACTTTAGAACTGAACTGGTGCTATGCATACATAAGTCACTCATCAAAAGTTTTCCCCGCATTTTCGTTGCAGCAAACCCAACTGTGACGTGCTCTTAGATGAAAGGAACGTGCGATGCAATTGAATCCAAGCAAAACTACTGAAACGCACTACTGGATTGTAAGTACAAACATGCGGAAACGACCCTGAACTTTGCTTTCTAGTTGTTCCTCTTCTCTTCTCTTCGCTTTTATTTTAATTTTCACAACTTGACAACGCCTTGTGGTCGCAATTATCGAGCCATAAAAATTGTAAGCCAAAAAGTCGGAGCCAAAAAGGGAAACGGTTGCCAAAAAAATAAAATTGCACACAAATGCAAATCCAGAAATTCAAAAATCATGCAAAAAGCTGACGCGGCTGAGGCGGCGGCATTGTCGCTGCATTGGCAGCATGCCAGAATGGCGGCAGGAAGCGGCTCCCGGCTGGAGGGAGCCGAGGGCCAGAGACAAAAGGATGCCCGGGCCTGGCGATAGAATTTTATTGCAGCCAAAATTGTTTGGAAAATTACACAAATTGTTCGGTGGCAGAATATTCGCAGCTGCACCCACACGTCTCCATTGGTGTGTGGCACTAAAGACTCAATTGATAGAGTTGAGACAGTGCCAAAAGGCCATTCCACTTAATTGACTAACCAGAATGAAGATGTTTCGGACTCCTTCGATTAGTTTGGATGCATTTTGCATGATCCATCCCAAAGACACAAAGTCAATAAATCATCCAGCCGTCGCGTCGTCTGTGGCGTACCAACTCGTACATTTCCATGCCACAAGGAATCGACAGATTCCCTTCCAACCCACACACACATAGAGACAAGATTTCTATCGCATTCTGGCCTGTGACCCGGAATGCCAACTGCAATTGACATTTCTTGGCTGCAAAATTGATGATCCAACTGAATCTGATTCGGTCTGCCTGTCTGTCTGCCTGTCTATCCCATAAAATTGAAAAGATTTTGCTCAAAAATGATTTGCAATCTCCTTCGGGACTTGTCTTGCTCCTTCTCTTTTCTTTTTTTCCATAAAGCGTGAAACACACACAATTTGATTAAAAAGTCCAGAGCGGCGTGTGACCTAATGAACCTTTTAACTTTCGCTCAAAGAAAATGTCAATTTGTTCACTGAACAAGCCAAATTAGTGAATATTTTGCTTGGATTTTGCGCAAAAAAGACCCTTTTGGCAGTGCCGGGAAAACGAATATTAAAATGTTCGAGGCTGGCAGATAAAATTGATTAATTTTGGCTTAAAATTAAAGTATTAAATGAAGCAGCAAAAAAAGTAATGTAGTCATGGGCGAGGCATTCAATGAATTTCGATGAATAATTGTTGGATTATATTTTTGATGCTCATTGAAGTATGATTATAATAAAATGCATTTGTCACCGAAACAATTCCATATTTTTGATTTATTTTCTGCACTGATTGCTCTATTTTAAAACTTTATCCACACACAAAAAATGTCAATGAATAGTTATTAGAAATTAGAAATGCTCATTGACGTTGGATGCAAATAAAATGCATTTTGCCAATGAATAAATAATAAATTTCGTATTTATTTTCTACACTGATTTACATATTTTTAACGCCCCACATAAAACCCATATAAAATCAGACTATTTCCAATTATAATTCTCTCTAATTTTTTGCTTGTTTTTTTTCGTTTTTTGCAGACCCTTTTTTGGTGTGCCTTAGGAGGTTTGATATTAGGTGGAATTGTTGTCATCTCATACTGGATACGACGATGCAGGTATGTATCCCACCATATCCGCCCCCCAACTAGGCAATATGTCTCTCTCTCTCTCGTTCGTTCGTTCCGCCCTCTCAATATGAATTTCGCCAATATGAAGACGAATGCGAATGCTGAAATATGCGTTTGTCCAGCGCAAAATCCAATTAGTGTGTTGGGGCCAAAACGCATTCGTTTGGGGAATGTTTATTGTTTTTTTTTTGTTGTGTGTTCGAAAATTGTCATCGCACTAAGCCCCGCAACACGTGACTGCCGACGGGTGCCGTGCCGCGCAGCGGAGACAAACAACGTGAATGGGCCAACGACCATTCCGGCGGATGCACGTGGGCATTGCCGTGGTTGGGGCTGGGGGGTCGGCAGTTCCCATTCCAGTGCACCCACATAGAGAGAGTAAGAGTAAGAGAGACAGCTGTGGGCTGGCTGGCTGACATTAGAAAAGACGCAAAATTGCCAGTTGGCCGAGCAGAACAACTGAATAATTCAACTCGGCAATTGGACCGACTGACGACCGACGAGGACTGACGACCGACGTCGGGCTCTGTTTTGAGCAATTAAGTTAATGATGCAAGGTCACTGGAAATGGGCCTGGCCATCGTCTACTTTTTCTCCTGCTCCTGCTGCTGCTCCCGCTCCTCCTTCTGCCCATTCCAAGTCTCCTGCCACTTGCCATTTAGCAAGCAGGACGTGGGCCAGTTCTAGTTCCGCCCCAACAATGACGCAGTTGACTTTCATGCCGCCAGCCGAGGGCGCTGACCAGTGCCCACAGCGCAGAGCATATTACAAAAGTAGGGTAAGGTGCGCCCAGAAGGAGTGGGGAACCTACTTTGGTCGCCTTACCTTCTTTTTAATATACCCCTCACACCCCATGCCATAAATCCCGCATGCAAAGGGGGAGCCCATTACGTTTGCTTGGCGCCAGTTCGTCCGCCCAGACAGTCAAATAAATTGTATGTTAAAATGTATGTTAAAGGACACACAACACAGCCAAACGCAACGCACTAAAAGGACACGGTCCAGTCCGGGCCGGGCCAAGGGCCTGGTTCGCCATTTACACTCTCTGTGCCGCGCTCTCTCTCTCGCTCTCTGTCTCTCTGGCATTTCCCATTTTTTGACGCGAGGCCAGCCAGCGCGTAAAAACTTTTCCAATTTCCATATGGAGCGATCAGAAAGCAAACCCGCAAACAAACAAACAAACAAACAGAACTGAAAATATTTGCATACGGGCAAATGTCCTGGGAGGAGCATTGGGATGCCAGCTCACTGGTCACTGGGTGGGTTGAGTGCTGCTGCTGCTCCTCCTGCTGCTGCTGCTGCTGCTGGTCAGGGCGAAGGTAAACAGTCGTTGAGCGGGTCATGATTAATGTGTCACGAAGTGGACAACAACACGACTCTTTGCCGCACACAAACACATACAAATAAACTGCCATAAGGGCCGGGGGACATGGCACAGTGGAGCAGCAGCAGCTGATCATATTTGGAATTTATGGGAGGTACCAGGAGATCCTTACCATTAACAAAAAATCCCAAATAAATCTTTATGCTCCGCCCTGACAGGAGCGAATATAAGTTAAAGTTTATGTATCAAAATACTCTTGGAATGAGAGTCACATTTCTCATATTCCTGCACAACGTATACCCTCCTTAATATCTACTCCCTCTTTAGTCTTAAATATCATTAATAAAAGTCTAGCCGCCTCTTTCATAAGAACATTTTGAAGCCCTAGTCTTAACCTTGTCTCCCTTGTTTGGCCAACGTTTTTTGTGTGTGCCCACTGTAAATTATCCGTACATTGTTATCCCCATACCCATTGTCATAGTCAAACAAACTGACATGCCAAGTTCAACAGGGAACGAATGCCAAAGAAGAGCAAACAAAAGTGGAAGTGGAAGTGGAATGAAAGGCGAACATTCTTTGGGAACGACTGCGACGACGACACTCGCCGTGAGTCAGTTGGAAATTGTCATAAAAATTAAAAATCAATTTTTATAATCCAGTTAGAAGGGGGGGGAGAGGGAGATAGAGAAAACGCACACGCCACAAAGCCAAAAGACAGAGAGAAATAATATAGAGAACGACTAAGCAGAGAGAGAGAGAGAGTCGAACCGACCGACAATTCCACCACAAATACAACCACAAACATAAAGCGATATGGACACGCAAACATTCTAAGCCACTCCACCCACAATCACACACAAATAAACTTGCAAACACACACACATATACACACACACACAGCGAAGAGAACACACCTCGAGTGGGTGGGTAGGTGGATGGACTGACTGGAATGAAGAAATTTCATAGTTTTTGCGCCCCTGGCCGAAACGATATTCGAATGGCACCTTCATTAACGGACGACCCGAGCAACGCGTTGGCCGCGTTTTATTTTGTTCATAGTTACCACGTTTTACCACGCTTCAAATTCCGCCACAGCAAACGCAGACACAATTTTCGGCGCGTCAGTCAGAGAGTCAGACAGAGAGAGAGAGAGTGAAAAACTTTTGGAGAGTGCTGGTGAAAAGTTTTTAGAGTTTACGGCAGACACTCAGTGCTCAGTGAACGAACGCAAACTAGTTAAATATTTATCATAATTTTCGACGACCCAATCAACGGGCAATGAGTCGTGGCATAATGAAGCTGCAGCTGAAGCAATTGGGGCAGTTCCTCCTGGTCTAGGAGCGCCCAACAGAGGCAGGTGCCAGCTACCCATTCCCCAGTCACTCGGGTGTCCTCCTCTTCATCTTCATCATCAATTTTAATGTGCAATTCTGTTTGTGGCAAGAGCATTATTCTGTGGCAGCAGATTAGACAATTTTTCGGGGCATGTAATGACCAGAATTATGGTCTAGTAAAGAATGAAATGAGTGCCAGCAGTTGAGGCGAAAGCTAAGCAGCAAGAAGGTCGTAGATGTGGCTAAAAGAATAAACCAGAAAAGGTGATAAATTGGAGTTGATAAATAGAATTTATTTGGCAAGCTTTAAAGTAGGTTTTATAACTCCTAAAGATCGTGTAATGAACTTTAATAAACTTTAATAAAATTCTGCAATAAAACTACTTAATAAAGCCAAAAGAATTCCCAAAACGATCTGCAGCATAAAACTTAATTGAATTATAAATAACTCTACCCCTGTTTTGTCTGGCTAATTTCCTAAACATTTTGTGTGTGTGTGTGTGTTAGACTGAAAAATAATTAATAATCGACTTTGGGCATGCCAAACGGCTGCTATTTTTAAACGCTCCGCATGAGTAATATCTCTGAACTAAGCCCTTTCCGAAAGCGATTCAATTAAAATGCTGAGAATTAATGTCTGCAACATTGAACTAAGCCCCAGGTTCAGGTTAAGCCCCCCCCAGACACGATTGGGGCGGAAGACGCAACGAAAGAGCAGTGGAAGGAAGACATGCACATGGAGTAAAACGATATTGATTAATGATACTCGTATACTCGTATATCTGTTTCCATTCCGAACACATTGTAGACCTATCCTCGTGTCGCTGTCTCTCTGTCTCGGTCTCGGTCTCTATTCGAATCGCGTTACTTTTGGCCATTTACCAAAATTGACAATTTAATTTGCAATGAAAAACAACAAACTGACGGACGGAAGGACGGGCACAATAATGCAATAATCATAATGGAAGGATAAACTGAGGGAAAGTGAACTGTGGCAAATGAATATGAATTTGACACCCAGACAGGTGGGGGCAAGAGCCAAGAGGCAGCCGGGGGGGGCCACTTGAAAGCCATAACACGAAAATCAAAGCAAAGCTCCAAGAACCTGCAGTGCCATTCGACCCTTGCCACTGCCACTGCCCCTTGCCCCTGCCCCTTGCCGCTGCCCACCATTACAAAATCAATAAAATGTCTTGAAAAGTAAAAGGCAAAATGAACTTTGAGCATTTTGTGTGTGTGTGTGTGTGTGTGTGTGTTGTGGGTGCCGCCTGTCCCTGATTAGATAAATGGCTTAAAGGGTGTACAGGGAGTGGGGGGGTTGTGTGCATTGCAACAATACAAATATACAAAATAAAATTTAAAATTAGAACTAGACAATTAGGCAAATGGCGGCCTCAGGCTGTTCCTCGTACACGTGCAACGTACAACGTACAACAAGGCGCAGCGCAGCAGGGGGGGGGGGGCAGGGAGCAGTGCACTCGCAGTATACAGAACTCAATGTCACGCAGCCAGACACACACACTCAAACACACAAATACAAACACAGAAAAGCACTTGAGGTAAGGCAAAGGCGCGGCATACGAGGCGTATAATTTATTTAAGCGTCTATTAAAGCGTCCTTTTCATTGTTCCGCTGCCGCTCTTTGTTGCTGCATACACTCGTAGTGGTTGCAATGCCCTGGATAAGGTTATGATGAACTGCAGCACAAGCTTAAAATGCAGATATAATTTATTTTCAAAGCCCTGGGATGGCTTTTGTTGGTTGCTTTTTAACGTAAATTAGGGGAATTCTTACTAGGGGAATTCCATAAATTGTAGCCGCCAATAATGGATGGCCTGCAACATCTGCCTGCCAAAGGAACGATCGCTTAAAATTCAATGTTGAATAAATAAAAAAAAAAAAGAACTCAGAACTATGAGTCGATTTTTCGCAAAGCTTCGGTTCCAAATCTTACAGTATAAATTTCTACAAAAATCTGAAAGCCTCTGAAAGAGTATCTTAATCTTCTGCTCGAATCTAGCATTTTCCTTAGCTGACATTCTTGTGGTTTGAGTAGTTTACTTTGTAGTTTTTCCACCTGTATGAAGGACATTCGTTGAGCTGCAACGCATTTGCTTTGGGGCTAAAATAACTTCAAAAGTTTTGCATGGCCAAGTGGAAGGCGTGTTGCTCGTTAATTAACAAAACAGCAGGCAGCAGGGCAGGCAGCAGGGCAGGGCAGCAGGGCAGGGCAGCACCCAACCAACAATGGGCATGACAAGTGCCGTTGTGTGCTGTGATGGCAACGCGTGGTGGAGTAGAGCCACGAAATGTTTTTTCAAAATTGAAATTTGATCTATTGTGTGCCTGCGTCAGACATTTTAATTGTAGCGCAGCCTATGGTCTGCTCCAAAACAAACAAGCAAACAAACAAGCAGAAACTTGAAGCACAGTGGAGCCTCCCATGGGTGGAAAAAATAAAAAATAAAATAAACGTTAGAAAAGGGAAATTCTAAAGAAGTGCGAGTGTAAATTTCACCCCCGATTATGGCTCACATTTGGGTTCATTCCTCCCTGTGGGACATTCACTGTACTCCCCTCGACACAAAAACCAATTACAATCACAGAAGCCATAAAATGTACACAGCAAAAACTGATTTAGCCCGCAGCTAAATGAAATCAATTGAAATTTAATTATACTCGTAAATGTACGAGTACGAGTATGTGTGGGTGTGGGTGGGCAAGCCCTGTATCTGTGTGTGTGTTTATTGCCAAAAATCAAATCAAAATGATTATCTAGTCTCGTTTCTAACGTATTGCATTCATAATTCATCTGTGACCACCCCCTCTACCCACCCTCGTTAAGTGAAAATTCGAATTGTAAACTAAAATTTCTGTCACCATCGAACTCCAGATTTAGGTGTCCTGCTACTGCCTTGGTGGATTGTAGCGAAGGTTGCGCAAGCGATCGCGAGCGGTAGGTAAAAAACCTCGTCAAAAAAAAATTTAAAAAAAAAATAAACTACTGCCTTCGTTACACCAAAAGCAAAGTCTGAGCTGATCAGACGATTAGTCCAGCAAGTTTCGAGAGCAAAGCAATATCACCAGAGCAAAGCAAAGCAAAGCAAAGCAAAAAAAAAGAACCAATACAATTTATGATTTATGATTTTTACAAACTCCAAAAATTGGCTGCAAAAAAAATATACACGCTAAAATATATAAACATTTTCCTTTCCATTTTCCATATGCAAAATATATTTATATTATTTTTCCCTTTGGTTACTGTACAAAAATTGAATTATTAGATTACGCTTTCGTAACTATCGTATCGTATCGTATCGTATCGTATCTATAAAACATTGGCTGCAAATTAGTTTAGTTGAATTGAAGAAATTTTGTTTGGAGTATGACCGATATGAGAATAAAACGCATGCAACACCATTTAACAGTTAATATTTTTTTGGTTTACATTTCCGCTTTCGTTCACACACACACACACACACACACACCTATACACACCAAAGGACTGGTGTTCCATTTTTGCGATTCAAAAACTGCTTTTGTGATTGTCACTTTTCAGCAAAACAGCAAACAGCAACAGCAAAAACCAAAAACCAAAAACAAAAAAAACCTTAAATTATTTATACACTCTTTAAACGATTGTTGACGGGGGAGATCAAGCCTGAAGTTACCTTACTTTATAGCATTTGAGTTTTTCCGTTTTTGTCCATTTTCTCCATTTATTATGCCACGAAGCGCTTCTGTCCAGTTTATTTTTTCATTTCGTTGCTATGTTTCCCCCTGGCGCCGTCTCGTGCAATGGAGAACAGAAAACTCTTGTTTAACGAATTTTTATGCATATTTCTTTCCATTTCTTTGTCGCCACTCAACTTTTGTTCGAATCTCACTCACTACGACCACGAACACGACCGCGACCGCGACACGATGACACCTATCGACCTACCTATCACCACCACAGGACACTTGCAGCGAGGTCAGCGCAGCGCCAGCGCCGCATCCGGAGCCGCAGCTCATCGTCGGCTGCCCTCATCAGCGGCAGCAACAACAACAACAGCAACAGCAGCAGCAGCAACAGCAACAGCAACAGCAGTCGAGGGATACCAAAGTCATCGCCAGATCATATTCATCGTCGTCGTCGACGCCGCATGCTCCAGTGCATCAACTGAAGCAGCAGCAGTCCCTGCCACAGCCACTGCACCAGCAGCTGCCACAGGCACAGCAGCAACAGCAGCAGCAGCAGCACCCGCACCACAATCCCCACGCCTCCAAGTCCGTGTCCATACTCGTCTACAAGACCCTGAACACAGTATTCAGGAGCAGCCGCAAGATCATCGTACGCGTCTGTGATTTGGCCAGCTCCAAGAAATCCTTCACCATGTTCAAATTCAACAAGGCTGCCCAGCAGCAGCGGATGGACAATCGGAACAGCGCCGTCACCGGCCACGATCAGTTTGTCAGGCCGCCGGTACCCGAAAAGTGAGTGCAACGCAAAGCCAATTGGAAAGTGCAGCAAAAGGTGTTAGGAAAAGCATTTGCAAGTTCTCGGGTGTGTAGGTATTGGAATTTTACTAGGGTTTCTTGTTAGTTTTTGCAGAAGTTTAAGAGCAATTAAGACTTTTATTCAACCTGAATATTTAATGGGTTGATGGGTAATTCATTTTGTATAAAAGTTTGTACTACAACAGAATTGGATAACCATTTAAAGGAAACTAAAATAACAATTGAATCTACATATTAAAGGGGTATTTGATTATATTTTAAATATATATCAGAATTAGAAATCAAAACAAAAAATTTTAAATGAAAATTTAAAATGATAATTTTTATAGTGATCGATTAGTAACTTTTTTCTGAATCCTTGAATGTTTTTCTTAAACCAATAACACTGCAAAATTCTTCAATAAATCAATATAAATTTAAAAGTTTAAAAAACTATCAACAATCGATAAGCTAATCGAAATTCAGAATATCCTTAAAAAAATCCTTAAAGACAACCGGTAAATGCTTTTCCAAACCCTTTTGACAACAACCACAACCCAATTTTTCTTTGATACCAATAAAATTGTGTGTGTGTGTGTGTTTGTTTCTCATTGTGAAAATGCAACCCAATAAATCGCGCGTTATCGATCGATAGGAAAGTGAAGCACATTATGAAGAAGCTGCACAAGGCGAATGGCTTGAAGCGCTCCAATTCGGCCATCGAGTTTGATGTCTCGGCCCTGACGGCGGCCAATCGCCGTCAGATCTACAGTAGGTGAGTACACGCACACAGATAAATGATCGAGTGATCGATGAGCGATAGCACCGATGCCAGATGCAATCGGAATAATCAACACCTGTGTATATAATATATAGAACTTTTTTATGTGTATGTGTGTGTGTGTGTGTGTGTGTGTGCACACTGCAAAAAAGAAGATGAACTTTGTGCCACCACCACACATCGCACTACTCTGGTAATACTGCGGAACTGTGCACCTACTCTGGTCACACTGGCCAGATTAATTTACTCAAATATTAGTTTTATTTTTTTGTTTTCTTTTTTGGTTGTGTATTCTTAAAGCTGCTTCTTGACACTAAACGAAATAACAAACTGAAGAGAAACACACACTTATTGTTGTACTTTTATTTCGCCCCCCCACAACCTACCCACCCCACCCACACATAACACCACCACCCACAACACCTTTGTGTACCCTTCTATTTGCAGCAATCGGTCGGCGAGCTCGGAGCAAGATAACATGTCCGACATGTCCGAGCACTCGGAGAAGTCGCCGCTGGTTAGCGCGAGGTTAGACAATCTAGCTAGGCTCTTCTTTAGCAAATCGATGCCAGCGGAAACCGGAAGTAGAGATACCATAGATTCAGTACTGACAACAAGGTTGCATTTACTCTAATCTAATTTCTATCTTCTACTAATTTTTAAAATATACTTTCCGCAACTAAATACTTGAAATATCACCCATCCAAATCAGCATTTTGCTTCACTAGTGTACAGATTAAATACATATATAGTTTTTGGTTCATTCGATCGGCGTTTGCCAATATCTCAAGTGCAAATTTTTCGTTCTGCCTGCTCGACTTTCCCCTTCCTAGTTTTCCTCTGTTTATTTTTTATCTAGCTCTGCAGCACTTTGCATGCCAAAATAAATAACGATAAAGACATGAAATGCTTTCAATGTTTGCCACACGTAGCATTTGCCGTAGAAGAAGAAAAAAACACTTTACAATTATTTTCAATTTGTTTTCTTTTTTTGTATTTTAGTTTTTCCACACACACACAAAAATATATAGCTAAACATAGCAATAACACTAGAGATCCCAGGAATATACATATATGTATGTAGTATCATAATCTGATGTGTCTCACAATTTTTCAAGTGGTTAAAACGCAGCACAAAAAATAATTAACTTGAAAGCTTTTTTTGGGGGAGTAAAATAATTTCTGTGATGGAAAAAAGAAATTCAACAAAATTTTTGTCTTGCCTTTGCGCAGACCTCGACCTCTGGCTACAGATCCCTCTATACAACATTTCTCTCTCCCCCTCTGACCACTCCCCTGTCTCTTTTTGATGCTGAAGTATTTTCTAAAACTTTATTTGCAAAGTTTTCTCATTTCAAATGCAAAAGCCAAAGGCAGTGCCAAAGTCAAAGTATTAAATGTGATGATAGAATGCATTTTCCAACAGGCGGCAAGGAGGGTGGCAAAAATCCCACAGACCCTCCCCCCACCACCACCGCCCATATGTTTCACTCTATAAAGGTGAGGGAGGGGTAGGAAAAGTTTTGCCAAGGTGAAAATGCCTCAAATTAGATGCCCGGGAACACACAAAAATTGCAAATTAAATTATCAACTCGGTAAAAGTTCACTCGCAAAAAAGGGAAGGGAATATGCCGAGAGCATTGATGAGTGTGAGTGAGTGAGTGTGTGTGTGTTTCTAGGCGAGTGTTTTTATGTGTGCCTGTGTGTAAAGGTGAGTGTCTGCTCACCCCGAGACCAACCCACCCTCCCCCCTCTCGCTCTACCTCGCTGGCATTCTGCTTTTCTGCTTCCCCTTCAGCTACGTGCTGAGCCGTGTGATGAATGTGCAAGCGAGCGTGAGCCTCTGTTCGTGTATGTAAGTGTCTGTCAATGTGACGGTGTGTGCCTTTAGCGAGCAGCAATCTGTGGGTGTGTGTGTGTGTGTGTGTGGGGGTGTCTGCCTGTATGGGTTGTGCTGCAAAGTATGCAATAAAAAATTTCACACACGAGCACGTTAATTACGCGCGGCATCCGAATATTTTTGAAAAATTTCCAACCACTTCAAGGCACACCACCAACCTTCATCGATTGAGTTGCTCTCCATGCATCCAGAAGATTGTTTGACTGTAAAAGTAACTGTGTATCTGTGGGGCTTAATTGTTTTGCGATCTCAGGCAGGTCTTGACTTATTAATTCTCTTATGGGGAAGTAAAATTTGACACCTTCTGGTCTGAATATGTTTTCGTTTATGTGAAAAATATATTTGGAGTCTGGCTGCTACTATATTCTTTCGCTTTAAATGAGAAATCTTTAGCTGATTGGATGCAAACAGATTAACTAAGAAATTAAAGCTCTTAAAAAATTTATCCTTAAATATTTTACTTCATTTTACTCCGCCCAAATATTTAAAGAACTCTTTTAACGCAATGCGAATTGATGTGTTAGCTTTCTTGTGCCAACTCCAATGATATGGCATCTCCTGTCTGCTGTGTGAGTTCACATCTTCAATCCTCGAGCACTCTCCATTCTGCCTCTTGTTTGGGCTCACTCTGCTCCGCTCTCTGCGCTCCCTAGAGGCCCTGCCACTTCAGAGTTGACAAACAGCAAGAGTGTCGAGAGCTTGGCACATATTTGAGCTGCAATATTATTACCAAAATAAAACACAAACACGATAGCAGGCGCTCCTTCCTTCCTTCCAGGATGTGCCTGCCTTCCACAACAAATTCCCATGCAGAGTTGCATCCAAAACAAAACAACAAAAATTAGCTTAAATCAACAAGAAAACATGAAAACAGCCATCCCCCCCCCTACAGTGCTGTGTGCTGCAATCTGAGTCACGGCCTTGGGAACAGCAGGGAAAAATGTAAAATATTTCACATACGCACCGTTGGCCAAAAGCGCAAGCCAAGCGCTTAAAGAGACAGGCATTGGTGGGTCTCCCACCAAAGAGTTTTGCCCAGTTTTTCCATGTTTTTCACATTTCTGTTTTTCCGTTTGTGCAAGTTGCTTGTGACGCAATGAAAGTGAAATGTACACAGTAGGCAGTGGCAGGCAGGCAGGCAGGCTGGCAGGCAGGCAGGGTAGCCTGGGGTGAGCAAGAGAGGCAACAGCCAGGAGAAGCCTCTTGGCCAACATTTTATGCCGCACACGAACACGAACACACACACGACACACACACTTTCCCTCTGGCACTCACTCTCGCTTTCGCCCCTCGAGTTTCGCTCTATCTGCTTCACTACTTTCTCCCACACTTTCTCTCTCTCTTTCTCCCTGCGCGGCGTGGTGCTGTGCTGTGCCTTGCCGTTGGGCGTCTTATTAAATTTTCAAACACATGCTAAACTTAACCCGAGGATGTGCTTAACCTTCGCTCTGTTTTGATTGAGTGGCCTGCAAGTGTTTGCTTATGAGCCGCCTGTCTCTCTTACTCTATTTCTCGCTACCCCACTGCCACTGTCTGTTTCCTCTTCTTTCCTTTTCCTGTTCTCCTAACCTGAACATTACGAGTGCTGACAACTATTTTGTTACAATTTGTGTGCCCCGTTGCAGGAGCTAAAGCCATGGGTTTGAACAGATGTCTTGGAATGCCAAATAGAACCTGCTAAAATTTGTCTTGAATATATTCAAATATAAGCTGCATATATACCTGATCTATGGGGATATAGTCAAGTCCGTCTGACTCAGCAAACTGCACTGCAAGCTGCGCTTAGATTTACAGAAACGCATCCAAAAATTATATCAAACCCAAATACCAAAAACATTTTGTGAGGCTGTCAAAAACTTCTGTCAACCGAATCTAATTTCCTTTTGTGTGGTTTCCTTTGCTTTTATATTATTTCTACTCTACTCTATCACTTCGTTGACTGTCTGTTGAGCCGCTAGCCGAGTGCAGCAGTTTTTTCTTTGCATTTTCTTCTGCGTCCTCCTTTTTTCGTACTCTATTTCATTTCGTTTTGACTTTGACACTATTTTTATTATTTTCCGTTTGCTTTGCTGCACACTCTTCTCTTCTCTTTGTACAACTCTTCACTACTTGCCACAGCCGACCTTTGTGCAACAAATAAACTAAATAATATACATTTATTTTTTTTCGCTCTGCCTTAAAACAACGAAACGAAAACGAAACAAAAACGAAATGAAATGATAAACTCTTGCTTCCGTTTCCGCTGCGCCATTGTGCAGGCAGTTACTTCCTCTTCCTTGTGCTCCTTGTGCTCTTGTGCTCCCCCCCTCCGCCCCACTCTCTGTGTGCCATTCATTGAGTTGCAAATTCCTTTGGCCCTGCGGCACAACACGACAACAAAATTTGTGGAAAATTATTTCTGTCTACAGTTTTTTATTTTTTGGCAACATTTCTGGTGCTCATGTCGATGGGTGGTCTGTGGTCTACCCCATTTGGCCATTCGTTTGTGCTGGTCAGATAAAGAAAGTTTCAGCCATTGAATTGTTAAGTAGATTCTGTTGATATATATATGGGATATAGCATAGGAGATGCATCTAAAAATGTTTAGAGTGCTTCAGAAATTTTGGGATATTTTTAGGTAAGTCCCATAAGACTTTGATAAATATTTCTAGCTACATTTGCAAAGGATAAAACTGATAGGAAAACAAACAAGAAATACACTTAACCTTGTGTTGCTTTTATTGGTTATTGTACATCCTTGATCCTCTTTGAAAGTGTTCTTTGGTTCGTTGGTTCGTTGGTTTGGATTATTTCAGTTGTTCTGCACTCTAAAAAATATCCCAAAACACACTCAATAATTGGCACAAAATTCTACAGAGCTCTGAGGTGAATTAATTTATGCGGCTTAACTCTTCGGAAACTTTTGAAATGACCGTTTCAGGCCTCAGTTAATATTAATCATTCAGTATGCAGGCCACATAATTGAAAATTGAAACGACAAAATTAAAACATTTTCCTGTTTGTTTTTTTTTTGTGTGTGTCTGTGTTAAGTGGGGTCGCCTATGCAAATTAGGGGCACATCCTGTATATTAAATCTCTCAATCTGGGCTATGGGGGGCATGTCACTCCTTGTAAATACATCAAAAACCAACTGAAAATAACGAGTGTAATGTCATCCAGACATCTGTAGGCATTGCCCATGATTAGTTCTAGTTTTAGTTTGTAAACATAATCAACCTTCAACCTCTCCAAATAAAACAAACCAAATTAAACCCTGAAATCTAATGCTGAGTGAACACTTTGCAGACCCAACATCAAATATCAGTACTCGGCCCTGGACAGCGGCAATGGGATCGTGGAGCGCAGTCCCCGTGAGCGTGCCCAACGGGAACGCGCACTCAATGCCACCCAGGAGTGGATACAGAGCGCCAATGGGCGGTACGAGGTGATTGCCCATCTGGATGAGATCGGTTCGCGGCACGGCAAGAACTGGTTTCTGGTCACAGATGCATCGGTAGGTGGCAGCAAAATTTTATAGCATTTTTTTTGCTGCTCATCTTAAAGATGTTCCCGCAGGTTCGCACAGATCGTCTGATGACGCTGCTGCCGCTGCCGCCCGATTGTGTGGCCTTCGAGGATATGCCACCGAATGAAAGTGCCAGGGATATACTGATGGAGCTGCTTGGCTCACTGCATCATCCCTACATCTACCCAGTGCTGGATCTTGGCTTCTTGCGCAGCAGCACGAACGGCTATGCGTGCCTCGTCACGCCATTCAATTCGCGCGGCAGCCTCAAGGATCTGATCTATAAGGTAAGCGAATCAAAGTTAATTAAAATGAAGCAAATACTTAATTAATGTTCAAACTTCAGGCACAGTGGAACGAGCCGTGGGTCAAAAAGTACACACGCAAGCCGAATGGTTTGCCTGTCAGCCAGGTGCAGCGTCTGGGCAGACAGATACTGGAGGCCCTGCTCTTCCTGAAGGAGCGCGGTTTTCCGCTTCACGGTCACCTGCACAGCGGCAATGTTATACTACAGAATGGAGCAGCCAGGTGAGTCCATAGTCTATAGTCCAGTCCCATCCAGTCCACTGGTGTCCGCTCAACTGTAAACTAATTTAATAATGGGTGGAAATATTTGATATCAAAATGGCCGTGGCCAGTGGCAGTGGCAGGACGGCAGGACGGGCCCACTTCCACTCTCGACAAATATGAGCATGAAAAATTCAACGCAAACAGAACAGCCAGAAATGGGCCAAAAATTTCATATTCAGCCTAAATGGCAAATTAAAAGCAATTCCACGGAATCGTTGGACATTTTGGTGGGGCACTTTAAATGCATGTCCCTGTCGCTTCTTGTAACTGTTGTGCGACAACGCGTACGCACACACACAAACACCTCCCTGCCCTTCCACCCACACACACACACACATACGCCCTCCCTCTTGAAAACATCGAATGGGTGTAACAAAAATAAAGCTTTAGCTCTTTTGCCATTTTATAAAAATAAATGCTCAGTGAGCAAAAAAAGAAAAAAAGGAAGAAAAAAAACATTTGCCAATACGGCTGCAGCATAGCGGGGGCGTTGCGCGATAAAGGGCGTGGCCGTGGGTGTGGTGGGGGGTGCAGGGTCACAGCCGTGTGCACACAGCAGAAATCCTATAGGTGAAAGTCGATTAAAGTGCGGACGCCTTTGTTCGAAGTTTGCCCCAAGTGCATGACCCAATTTAGCGGCTGCCACGAGCGTCGCATGGCATGGGGACATGGGGCATTGCAAAAAGCTGATTTTCATATAAATTGGGTATACATATATGTAAGATGTGTACAGTCATCGATAGGGATAGCTATTTGAATGTATGCGAAAAGTACAGTGCGGGGTGGAGGAATGGCAGATAACAAGAAAAGCTGATTGACGGGAATGAAAATAAATCACATGTTCACAAGGGACTGTGCATGAGAAAATCTAATTGGAAGGTGTAGAAATTGCAGCACAACGCTCGTCGATAAGTCCTCAATGGGGAAATATCTATAAAAGTGGGTAGGAACTAATAGAAAATACAGTTAAGAGGATTTGTTTGGAGAGAAATCAGTAAAAAGTATATCAGTATCAGTATAGTTACGGCTATTCACATTCTGAGGGGAATTCGTAGGTAGATTAAACCTCAAAGCTAAGCTCTCTCTTGAGCCGTGCCGTGGATCGTGCGAGCGAGCGCTGTCAGAGAGCGCGCTAGCAATGAGCTGAAAACGAGAGCGAACAGAGGAGGCCCTAACAGTGAGCGGTAACATTCTGTTAGGCTGTGCGGTTAACATAGCTCTTTACTTGCTCTGTTACAGCCCTGACAAGGAGCTTTGGGCTATAAATCTTTAAAGGTTAAAAGCTACACCCATTACTTCATATCTATCAATAGGGCCTCTCTCTCTCTCTCTTTCTCTCCTTCCCCAATTTATCTTTTAACTACTCTCCAAATTAAGAATAAAAACTTTGGCTTAGTTTTCTTAGTTTCCTTCAAGCAAAACACACTCATAAATCTCTCAGCTGTCTGTCCTGACATCTCGAAAAATGCCTTTTGTCAGCCAATAAACTTGTATGATATGTATAGTATATGCTCCTCCGCCTAGTCAGCAGTAATCTGCACTAATAACGGCCCTGGCCCAGGGCAGGTCTCGGTGTCGCCTGCCCCAATCTGCACAGCACAATACAATGTGTAGTGGGGGCCATAATATTGTGATATGAGGACTGACATACGCTCTTTTGTCATTTGGATGAGTGCAAGAGATATATACGTAGAGATACCTGCACTCGTGCCTCTCGCTCGCACAGTAATCCATAAAAGTAGACACTTTGTGGCGGCCACGAGTCACCGTCATCGTCGGCGTTGCCGCTGCCGCTGCCGCTGCCACGTGTTGGCCATCAATATGCCAGAGCCATCGAAAGTGTTGCATAATTAAGGGCGCAAAAACAAAAGGGTTGGTTGATGGTGGCGGGGGGAAGTTACCCATTTAATTATGCATTTTGTTTGACATTTATCTTGTATCCCTTTTTTTCGGCCAGGTTATCGGGCCTGGAGAACGGCCTGCTGGGCCTGAGCTCGCGCAACAATGCCGTGATGTGGTCCCGTTCGGTGACCGAGATCGAGAACGTTGACATCGTGTGCTTTGGCCACCTGCTGTACGAGATGTGCACGGGCCAGGAGCTCAACACACCGAAGCCGTCCATACGGGTGCTCGAAATGGAGCTGAATCACTATCCACAAATTGGACAGGTAATAAGCGCATAACTTTATTAGTTCTTTATTTTGTATTATTTGTTGTGTGTGTGTCTACCAGATACTGGAGATCCTGGGCCTTATTTTTGAGCCGCCCAGCGGTGTCTGCCCCTCCGTTGAGGACCTAGTCCTGTGCGATCTCTTTCGCAGCATCGATCTAAGGGAGCTGCGTGGTCCCTGCTTCAGTGTAAGTTGACACAGAGTCTCTCTCTCTCTTATGGGTACACATTAATTAATTTATCGCATGGATATACCCCCGTTAGACAATTAAGCCGAGCCTCAGCAGGTCCACACTGAATCTGTTGCATGCCGTGAAGAAGAGGCAGTGCGCCTCCTTGGGTCACTCACTCAGCGAGGCAAGCTCGCCCTGTACGCCGCCCTCGACGCCGCACGATCGACGCACTGGGTAAGTGTTTGTCGGCTGTTTGCTTAGCTCTTTCCACACACACACAAACACACACACACACACACACACACACACACACAACTAGTAGCAAAATCTGCAGCTGTCTCACTCTCAGTCAGTCACAAGCATTACTCCCCACATCCCACACACACACAGACAGCAATAAACACATACTCCAAGACACGCTCACACTCACACTCATACAGAAATCATCTCGTGTCTTGTTTTGGTGTGACAGGGACAACAACAGGTCTTGTATGCACTTCGGATCGGATTATTAAATCGGGCCCCCCTGACACCCTGACCTCCAAAATCAGTGGCATGCAGTGGCAGTGCAGAGCAGTCTACAGCAGAGCGGGGAAAATTATTATGGAAAATAAAGAAATGTTCGCAGCTGAACGCAGCTCAAATAATCCTGAAAACAACTTTTAAACTTCAATTAAAATATTTGATGTAATAAGCGAATATTTATAGCTGAAACGCACTGTACTCTCCTGATAGCTGCGGTTGGGTTAGGCCCCCGGTTTTGTTCGCAATTTATGGCCATTGGCCACATACCGCTGCTCCCCCTGCTACCCTGTTAATCCAGTTGGCGTGCACTCGCATTTTGGGCTAATAAAGAAAAGCTCGCACACACACACACATACGCGCATGCAGAGGCTAAGGAAATGTGAAACAAAAAGAAGCAAAAAATGGCAAACAGGCGAGAAAAACTAACAAACAGAAAAAGAAGCCTGGCCTGGGCTGGGCACCAGAGAGAGAGCAGAGCAGGGAATATGGCAGGAGACAGCAGAGCGTAAAATGTTTCCATAAGCTTGATGATGTGCGTGTGGCCATGTCTCTGTACAAATACAAATACAAATACAAGTATTTGTATATGAGTGAGCGTGTGCGTGTCTAAAGGTAATTATGGTAATGTCCTGGACTCTGCTCTGCTCTGCCATGCCCTGACCCTGCCCAGCCCCACACCCAGAACCCCCAGCAGAATTTAAAATTATGCATACAAGACAGGAATATAATTAAGTGATAAAAAATGAGAGGGAAACCAGCAGAAGCAGCAGCAGAAAGAAAGAATACAAATAGAACCCAAGCAAACAAGAATAGAACCTCATCCGTTGCCCTCATGTATATTTAAGCATCTCTCTCTCTGTCTCTCTCTCTCTCAATCTCGATATAAAAAATCTCAAAAATCTCAATTTTACGAGCTCCTTGTAAATTAACTCCGCTGCCTTAAAAAAAGCCCCTCAAAAAACTTAAAATCAAAAAATGAAAAAATTAAAAATACTCAAATGCATGTTTTTACTTGTAACTTTTATATAAAACCAATTAACAAATTTTATGTAGTTGAGGATTTTTTCAACTAAAGTATTTTTTTTCCGTATGCCATGTTTTACTCTCTCTTTCTCTCCTATCCAATACTACCAAATACTACTACTACTACTACCAAATACGCCTACTACTCTCGTACTCGTACTCCTGTAAAAACTCTTCACCTAAAAAAAAAAAAAAAAAAAAAATTAAATATATATATATATATATACCTATATGTTTGTTCTGTGTGTGCGTGCGTGTGTGTGTGTGTGTGTTCGCCCAGAATACCGTTACAGTTACCGTTACAGTTGCCGTTACACCAAACCCATCATCTGATACTCCACACATACCGATCCGCTCTTGAATGTCTATCAACGTTCATTTTCGTTTATCTAACATATGTGTGTGTTTTGTTTTTGATTTACAAACTTTTGCATTTCTGCATTTGTTTATTTACATAACCAAAAAAACAAACAACTACTACTCCAACAACAACAACAACAACAACTCCAACTCCAACCCAACAACAACAACAACGAATTATAAACTACTACAACTCCAACAACTATAGTGTTCTGCCTGCGCCCTATGAAGTCTTTCGTATGTACTAACCCAACAAGCAAACAAAAAAAAAAAACAAAAAAGAAAAAAGAAAAGAAAAGAAAAAACTCAACAATCCAACAACCAAACCGAACCGTACCAAAGTAAAATTGAACCCGAAACCTGAACCAAAAATAACAAACCAACTCTCCCAACCAAAAACCACTCACCAATGAAATTTATATAAACAAGAAACCATAAAAAAATTAAAAACAAAACGATTAACGTGTAAAACAAAGCCCCTAACCCCCCAAAGAATGAATACCTGAATAAAATTAAAAAATAAAAACCCCTTAAACAACAGAAGAATAAGAAACACAAAAATATAAATAAAGAATATATCCCAAAAATTTTTGTACGAAAATTGCAATTTTTTATACGGAAAATGAAACAATCAAGCAAAATATATATAAAAAAAAAAACACAGAGAACAATTTTTGTTGTAGCTAAATGTGGTAAGTGGCAATATTTTTGTATGAGCGGCCAAATCCACCAGAACCACCCAGCAAGCAAAAGCAAGCAGCAAGCAAAACACCAAAACCACTTTCACACTCACCCAAAAAATAAAGCAAAATAAATAAAGCAATATTGCAACTGCATTGGAGGAAGGCCAGAGACAGGAGACAGGCAAAAAAAAAAGAAAAAAGAAAATATACAATACTCCTGCTCGTATGCCTGTGCATACAATATGTAAAACCAACCACATTATCCCAATGCTTTTTGTTTGCAATGGTTTTTAGATTGTTTCGATTGAATAATTATGCATGTTTTCGTTGCTTTTTGGTTTGGTATATTTGCTTGACCCCTGACCCATAAATCGCCCAATATTTGTGCTTGTATTTATGCTTGAATTGCATGTTGATTGCGTTTTGCTCTATAGAATATTTATTCGTATCTGTACTTATTTACCTTGTTTATACTATAAGTCATAGATATATACATTCAACTATGTATATGTAGTTGAATTCACTTGCTGACACATAGTAAGAATTGACATACCATTGGCCATTTAATCCTCAGAGTACTTAGCAACGTTTTTTTTTAGAATTCATTCATTTACATCTGTGCACACAACATTTTCCACTGAGATGCTGGCACGTTGCTTAGTCTGCTCATCTGCCACATATTACATACATATACTTAATGCTGTTTTTTAACTTGTGCTAGTGAAGGGTTTTTTCTTGTGAGACTCAGCGATTTTCTGTCGATAGAAAGAGTACTTCAAATTATACCAACTACCTTCAGAATGCCTTTTCCATATGCGCAATTTGTCCATTTACAAATTCCTCACTTTATTCCAATTAAAGACAACAGACAAATGCAATCTCTGTATGGAAATCTCTTGTTCAACATTTTTTTTAACATAAAATAAATATTAATAATTGCATTTCTGGTCTCAAAAACATTTAATAAATAACGAAAATCACATTTATTCTGCATTAATTGCATTTCTGGTTTCAAAAGCTTGCCCTCAGCATTGTTTGAGTATTGAAATTTACATTTTTTAGTTCATTAATTGCGATTCCGTTCTCAAAAGCTTGCCCTCAGCATTGTCTGAGTAACGAAACTCACATTTATTCTGCTCTGCATTAATTGCATTTCTGCCCTCAACTTTTGTTTTGGAATATCGAAATGCATATGTCCTTTGGTCACTAATTGAGTTTTGGCGTGTTTCAAAATCCCAGTTCAGCTCTCAGGCTCAATTGAAAACCAGCACGTAGACGTGGACGCTTCTATGTACGAGTGTACTCGTACTCATACTCGTATGTGCAGCACTCGAGCCTATTCATTCGCCCCACTCGTACGTAACACTCATGAATACCAGCCGTACACAGAAGAGATATACACCCACCCACCCAAAACAATGACATGTCATGGCTTTTTGCATAAAAACCAACACACAAAAGAATCGAGAAACTGAAATCAAATCAGGTGCCCGATATCCAGGGATCTATCTATCGGGTCACATTGCATCCCCTCGCAACCGCCCCCGCCCACCGTGTGTGCATGGAGGAAACAAAATGCTGAAATTTCTGATTTTTATTCTCTTCCATCTGTGCTCTATCCAATCCCTGTATCACACACACACACACACGCACATGATATCCACCATAGAATCAGCCGAACAATGGACTCATTTGACATATCAAGCGACTCGGAGGAGGGGCTGCTCGAGGAGATTGTCGTCGGCGGGAGCTGCCACCAGCAGCACCTGCTGCGGCTGCAGCAGTGGCACTCGGCCCACTCCTACACGTACGAGCCGGCCACGGAGTCGCCCATCCACTACTGCGACCATGCGGCCCTCTACTCCGATGACAATAGCATCCATGACCAACAGCCGCCCACCATACGCTGCAGCACCAGCAGCCAGAGCAATCTCAATGTAATGCTGGCCGAGGGCGTTGCCGGTCAAGAGCAGCAGCAGAGGAGGAGGAGGAGGTGGAGGTGGCACTGCCTGGGGAGGAGCGGCAGGAGCAGGACGAGATCGAGGACTACGAGGTGGCCAGTGGCTCGTCGGGTACACAGCGGCTGCATGCACCTGCTTCGGTGGGCGCGGGCGCGGGCGGAGCCTCATTCAATCACCAGCTGACGGCGGACATGTGCAACTACAAGAACTCGAAGAGCCGTCGACTGGAGTACTCGCTGAAGTGCCTCAAGTACGGGCGCAGCAATCCCTCGCAGGACTCGGCCTTTGGCTCGCTCACCGACAACGATCTGTCCATCGCCTCGAGCATTCGCCTGAGCAGCTTTCAGTCCATCTCCTCGCCGATCGATGAGGGCGTCGAGGATATCATCATAGCCACGACGACGGGCGGCAACGAGACCTGCCTGGAACTGGCCACCATACCCAGGAGCATGGTCTCCCAGGATTCGGCCATCTCATCGCCCTGCCGCGAGAGCTCGCCGAGCAACTTTCTGCACATTGACGATGCCATGTCCGGCACGGGTTCGACTTCATCGGGCTCCGGTTCGGGCTGTGGCTCGTACGGCAACACGCGGCCGCAGCAGTTTCCTGTGTCGCTGTCGCCCAAGATACTCGTGACGGCCACCAGCAATTCGAGCAGCTCCTCGTTGGCCTCCAACAGCAACGCTGGCCAGCCACAGGCACAGGCACAGTCACAGGCTCAAGGGCATGCCCATCAGCAGCAACAGCAGCAGCAGCAGCAGTTTGATCCGCCCAAGATCCTGGTCAACGATCAGAACTCCATCTACACGACATCGCCCTCAAAGCGCTCCGGCATGATTGAGGTCTTCTCGCAGAAGTACAGGGTAAGTCATCGCCCCACGCTAGAGGTGGAAAAACATCGATGTTTGGAGACATCGATGTTTTCGATGTTTTAGTGAATAAACATGCATAACAACATAAAAAAAATACAAAAATACATATAAACTCAAAGAAAATAATTAAAATTATACATAATAACAGTTTTATTTCATTTAGATCGAGTTCCGAATCCATTCACAAAATATATATATATATAAGTACATTTACCAATTATATCTTAAAATAAGTCTTATTTTGTTGGATAATAATTGGTACACCACTTCCGGCTTAAGGCGGTTACGACGATCGGAAATAATTTGCCCACTTGTGAACATCCTCTCTGACGTAGGATGGGATAGCGCTACCTAGGGTGACATATCTCCTGAGACCTAACAACATATCTGCACGGGATTTTGAAACGACATACATACCCTCGCGGAGATTGGCGTCATATCTCCGCCTTAGCGACATATCCCGTAGAAAAAGTAATGGCAGGATATACATATGTCGCCCGGAATGTCGTTACCCGTAGAGTTGCCGGGACGCACAAATATTTTTGGGTTTCAGCTTTAAATGGCATCATGCCGCTGTATTATCTAAAATGTAACCATTTAGCTTGATCTTCTTCTCTCTTTAGGTTTTTCTTTCATAACGACAAACATAAAACAAAACATCGATGTTTCGCCAAAAAACATCGATGCTTATAAAAATTTTAAAAACATCGATGCATCGATAGTAGCATCGATGTTTTTCCACCTCTACCCCACGCCCCACGCCCCCTGGACGATGTTTCCCAACCAAAAGTGTCTTTAATCAGCATCCCTTTCAGGTGAGCTCCTTCGAGGACATGTCACCCAAGCGGGGCAACGCGGACAAGCAGCATCTGAAGCATGTGAATCGGCTGGCCTTCCGCTCGCTGGAGGAGGAGCGGCGCATCGATAACGCCTTCATGCCCATGGCGGATCGCACCCATTCGGACAATCGCGTCAATATGCAGAGCGAAAAGTACAAGAAGCTCACGCACGCCTCCTTTCGCATCAGCAAGACCTCCAGCCAGGACTCGCCCACGGCCACGCCCACCACACCGAATGGCGGCAACAGCAACAGCATGGAGATGCAGCGCACCGGCCGCCAGACACTGTGGCGCGACAGCAAATTCTATCGCAAGAATCGCATTGCCAAGAGCAACGACTCCCTCATGGAGAACACACCGTCGAGTCCGAGGCTGTCGCCGGGCTCGTACGAGAGCCGCAGCAGCTCCCAGGCCAGTCGGCGATCCCTGAGCGGCAGCCAGCAGATGCTGAGCGTGACGACCAGCTTCTGTGGCAATGGCAGCGGATCGGCGGCCAGGAATGCTGCACGCTACTGCAGCTCAAAGAGCGAGGATCTGGGGGAGTCCTCGGACTATCTGAGGGTAATGGATGCCCGCAAATCCTACTCGGAACGACATTTGGTGCGACTCAAGCAGACGGCCATCAATAACACGCACAGCGAGGACGATATGAGCTTCAACGATGACAATAATCCATCAGCATCAGGATTGGGTTTGGGAATGGGTCTAGGATTGGGTTTAGGATTGGGTTTGGGATTGGGATCATCAACGCATGGCCAGGCCCACCACCAGCACCACCACCAGCAACAGCAGCAACAGCAGCATCAGCAGGGGGGACGCTGGAGCAGCTGCTCCATTAGCAACCACCTGAAGACGACCAATATTAAGACCAGCTCATTGGCCACGCTCACGCTCTCCTGCCAATCGAATTTAGTAGCCAAAGCTCCTTCCGTTCCGTCAACTGCCAGCAGCTATCGCACGCCCTCCAAGTCCCTGGACCAGGCACTCAACATCAAGGTCCAAAGCACCAACAACATCAACACGAACACCAACACCAACACAGGCAACACAGGCAACACGAACAACAGCAACAGCAACCCGAGCAACACTAGCAACAGCACCAGCAGCAGCAGCTCGGTGGATGAGTCGTCCCCATCGCGTCTGACACTTAGCGGCGCTGAGCTATCGCGCATTTTCGTGATGGACATGGACGATGCACCGGGAGGCAGCAGCTGCAGCGAGGAGAAGACACCGCTACTGGACAGCGTGGAAATGTCGCCGATTAGTCCAACAGAGTCGGAGCAGCCAGATCTATAGGAGCGCTAAGAGAACAGACGCAGACACAAAAGTACACAAAATAAAGTCATAAAACACCCCACACACACCCTACAGACACCCCTACCTACACACACCCCTACCAACACACACACACACACGTATTGAGCAGCCGAAATGCAAAGCATGTGATAAAGAAACCAAATGAAATAGAGATCGAAATGGAAGAAGATCGAGGAAAGAGGGAACCATCAAGTTATAGAACTTTAGGCTAGGTACGAGAGGCAGGCGGCAGGCAGGCAGAAGCATTTGCCAGTGTTGGTTAAGGGTAAGGCAATTCTAACACAGAAACAGACGACACAGAGAGAGAAGGAGAGAAAGAAACATGTAAGGTATTCGGTAATTCGGAGCTGCTTTCGCCTTTGCTTGGATCCACACTCAAAGCTTTCTTCTGGTAACAATAATATTTTCGTCTTTATATTGAACTTTAGCCGATTGCTTTTACAGCAAGTCCAAGCGAAATTACACTAGATTAAATATTATCTACTATCTCTCTACAAAAGCAACCAAAAACAAAAAGCAAAAAGCAAAAACAAAAGTCAGAAATAACGAAACACACAAGATGAGTTCTTTTTTGTACAGAGAATAGTTTTCGGCATTATACGGAATTATACAACTTTTACTTGGTAGTCGATTGTATAGCTAAGACTTCGCGTAAGCTTCGCGGCAGATAATATTTTACTGTAGCCTAAAGAGAAATTCGTTTTAAGACCCCCTACGCCCCACACCCACACCCCGCTAACCGGCCACAACGGGGCATGTTTTAAAAAGTATACATACATAAAATATACATACATACTATATATTAGGAAAATAAAAACAAAAAACTAAAAAAGAAAATCAAGCAACATAGCAAAAACAAAGAGCAAAAAAATGCCAAAGATAATTTCGCCATCAAATGGAATTTGGTGGGAATGGAAGGAATCCACAGGCAGAGCTAGAGAGAAGAATTACAATTCTTTGTTCGTTTCTTTTGTTAAACACGTTGGCAAAGGACACGACACACAACACACAACAAAACACTTAAAAGCAACAGGCACACTGCAACGGAAACCCAAAGATTAACGCATAAGAGTTAGACAAACGATAACGATAAAGATAACGATAACGATAAATATAATACAAGAAAGCAATCAAATTTACAAAAAATATCGCAACCAAAATAGTATCACGAAAAGAACACAAACACAAACAGAAATCAAATCAAACACCACAAATACGAGTACTACATACATATATACACAGAGAGTATCGAACATACATACATATACATATACTATATAGAGATATAAATTATAGACGCACGCACTTAGACGATCCCTGAACCATGGAACACCACAGACCCACCCACCATTGAAGATGAATCCAAGTTGATCCACAGATGAAGTACCGCCACGGTCGCCGCCCCCTTAGTTTTATTATGCGTAATTATTGGAAGCGTAGAAAGCATTGTTTATGGGACCCCTAGCATGTATTGTATGTAATTGTATTTCCCCACTGAACAGCAACAACCCCCCAGAATGTGTTATATCTAAGTTGAATTTGCTTGGAATTATTTACCTTAACCCATTTACCCGTTTACTTGTGTAATGTGTACGTAAACGGCCCCCCGAGAATAAAAATTAAACGAGAAAAGCAAACGATAAATGGAGTTTTATTTTGTATTGATTTTTGATATGCAAGTTTTTGTTGTTGGCTTGTCATTAAGCACCCAAATCGATAGCAGCACGAAATATAATTAAATTCTAAAGTAAGTACTCAAACGGTATGAAATGTTAACGTTAACATTAATCACAATTAACAGCTCTGTTGACGCCAGCGCCACTACATGTGACATTTCTGTTACAGATGGCGGTGCTGTGTCGCATTTACATAGTACATTTTTTGGCCACCAGTGGCGTGCGTGTATATGCGGTGCAATATTTAGCCGCCAGTGTCGGTATTGGGAAATTTTAATTTAATTTTAAAATGCAATATATAAATATAAATAAAAATAAAAATATAATTATATATAAATACAAATTTTAAAAAATAATTCGATTTATGGATTTTATTTTTTGTTAATATACCAACACATATTACACATAATAAATTATTGAAACATCTAGAACGAAGTTTTTTCATTGTCACTATAATATCGTAATGTTTTACAGTTTTATTATTGTTTTTCCGTTGATATGACAAATAGAAAGGTCAACGATTCGCTTCAGCATTTAATGCCAAGTATCTTGGCAATTTTAGTGCAGTTATGGATCATCTTTCAAAGCGTCTCGAAATTGCTGTCGTCAAAGATGAAACCTGAACTTGCCAACACAAACGAAGCCATCAATCAGCCTAACAAGTTGGGTGATTGATACGCAAATATGCAGTCAACTTTCATTTGAAATTCATTCATCAAACGACTGGCACAACTGGTTCGCACCACCAACAACTAACCCACTTCTGGCAGTAGACTCTCATCATCTTTACATGTTTCTTGAAGCCATCAAAACGAACAGTAATTTCGCTTAGTAATTGGCATCGATGGCAGCTAGAAGGTGCGACTAAAACAAGGCTCTGATTAAGGTGACGGGGCACCTATAGCAATCCACTGCCAACAGATCGAATTGCGCAAGCGTGACCAAAGACCATGCAGGAAGGGTGGCTGAGAAGGCTGAGTAGCAGCAGGGGGTAGGTTGTGCCCTATTTCATAATTTAGTTGCCATATTTATTATTATGTGCTGTCATGTCCTGTTTCCGTGTCTTCCATGTTACTGTTGCTCCGGCACAGCATCCTAAACAAACAATCGATGAGGCATATGACAGCAAACTAATAAAATATATCCCACTCCTACCTGACAGCAGAACGAACCCCCGTCCCTGGGCATCCTGTCCAGCGGTGTGTCCTGTGATTGCCTGTCCATTGTTTCAGGAGCTGCAATTATGAGAATTTCGGCAATTTTACGGCTGCCTCGCATTGGACATTGGACATTGGTCAGTCCGGTCCGGTTCGGTTCGACATTTTCTAACAATATAATTTACAGCGCTTTTGTGTAGCGAGGCGTGAATTTACTACTCAAAACTGGCCTACGGTGCGTGCCGTCCTGTGTCCGCCGTCCTTTGTATGTCCTGCGGCGCTGACTGGACTTTGGTCCAGTTAATCGCATTTGTTGGTTTTGTAATTATAATTCTCGGGCATTGAAATGATTTTAGCATTTCAATTTGTACTGCCAACCACAGGCCGGGGCGTTCTCAAACATTTTTCGACCCCTTTTGGTCACTTTCATTCTCCATGGGACCTGGCGCAGGCGCAGGCGCAGCTGCCACGGCCACTCTCTCTCTCTCTCCCCCCTGGGCGCGTGCCGCACGCAGCGGGACTCTGTGTCCAGCAGCAGCCATTGAGGCAGGGAATGTTTTCCATCAGTTTTTCACCTTTTGAGTGGCAATTTCAATGTTTCCTCTGCCGCTGCTGGCGCATTTGTTTTCGCTCAGCTTATACAGCAAAAAGGATTAAAAGGACTTCTCGCGGTTGCCTTTGTTCTCATCCAATTTACCGTGAAATTCATGGCGCTTCTCCTTTGTATGGGATAGTACAGGATATAATACCTTTTATTACATTATTCTGTATAGAATTTCTCTTTTTGTTGGATGTGTGTGTGTTTTTTTGCCTTTTTTCCTGCTTTTTTTTTTGCACATTTGTCAACTGTTTTTATAGCGGTGAAAGTGACACAATTTTTTGGCTGTCCCATCTGCAGATTTATGTGTGTCGCTGTCAAGACTCTGCCTTTGAAGTGGTTGAGTGGTTGGTTGGTGGTGCTGGCATTGTTGTTTCCATCTCTCAAGGGTTGCGGGGCGTTGCCCGCAAAGAGATTTATGTGCTGGATCGCAAAATGCTAGGCAGATGATCTCGAGGGAACATTGTTGGATTGTTGAGGTACGCTATACGGTAGGAATCAGTCGATTGTTGACAAATTATGGAATCCAAATATTTCCAGCCCTTCTTAACCCACTTCGAATTTATTTCAATTGGCTTCCAGCAATGCCACATTTAACTCTCAGCTAAAAATTACTTCCTTAAACAATTTGCGCTCCACTTTTTCCGCATTTTTATAACCGCTTAACCAAAATGCGACAAAAGCCAAACAAATTTGCAACTGAATATTTCAGTGGAGCCGTCAACTCAAGCTGGACTTGGACATGGTCAATGCCATGTGTCGCCGCTTGATGGCTGTCCACTGGCCTGGTGTCCGCTGGCCACTGTGCACGGGCCTGCTGGCCATTTTCACAGCCCGTTGGGCAGGTGTTTTTATTTCATTTAGTCATTCTCTTTTTCCGCCATTCAAAATTATTCTCGCATGAAAATTAGAAAACATGTTCTGTCGCCGAGGGGAAACCCAATACGCGTGTGCACACAGCCACAGCCATAGCCATAGCCATAGCCATGTGCACAGACATTGTCATTCGTTCATTCACTTCACTGCAGTGCGGGGCCCGTGTGGCACTCAGGCTCACCCATTCACTCTCTCGCTTACTTATTCATTCAATTCCAAAAACAAATTGGCAGCGACATTTTTTTTTTTTGTTGTTGTCGCTGTTAGCTATTAAAATTCATGTCGATTTTTTTTAATTAAAAAAACATTTTTCAGTGCGAATCAATCGAAGCGGCTGACTGCTGGGAAATTAGCCTCAAGTGCCACAGGGTTGTCAAGCTGTGCGCAGGCGCAGAAGCGGTAGCTGTAGCCGAGTGTCCTTGGGCCAGGCGCCTTGTCCAGCTGTCCATAAATCATCCATCTACGAGTATGCGCATGCCCAGCCAGCCCAGCCAGCCGGATTCCGATTTCGATTCCGTTTCGTGTAACGCTTATTTTCGCTATTTTTTACGGCCTTTTTACGAGTGACCTCTTCATGTTGACCTCCTACAAGCCCTTGGCGGTGCCAGCACAACACAGTAACAGCAACAGCAACACAGCACCATTTTCATCGGGTGGTTAATCCTTTAGTCAAAGTTTTGTCAACGTTTATGATGATTTTCGGTGTTTTTTTTTTTGTTTTTCGGTGGATGATTTTATGACTCGCATTTTTCGGCCAGCCAGTTGATGATGCAGGAGGCTGGCTGCTACGCTGAAGTGTTTCCCATTGTTTCCCTGATGATGATTTTTTGTTCGCTGTTTTGCTGTTTTGCTATTTTAAGAGATGTTAAACAATATTTAGATGTTGTACGCCAGTGAGGGTTGGTGGGGGATTAGCATAGGAGCGAATGGTAGGGGAGGATATTGCAAAGGAATATTGGAAAGATTATTGCAGCATTTTAAGCTCATTGTGTGCTGGGTTTGACTTGAGTTAAATGTTCTTGAAAAGGATTTACGACTCAAAGGAATCTATTCTGATTTCTTATATTTATTACTATGTATAAATTATATAATATACATTTTATACATATAATATTTATAGTAATATAAATATTATATAAATTATTTTATAATCTACTATTATATTATATATAATCCAAAAAATTTTTTCAACTAAT